GAGCGCCCGGGTTCGCCTCGAAAACACTGATAATTAGAAGCTCTAAAATCTATAATCAATGGAGATGAATCGAGATATCACAGAACATGAGGATAGTTTCCTAATTCTGCTAACATAGGAATACCTGATAATAGTCTTTAGCAACTTCAAGAGTCAGATCAATTTTCTCTATATTAAATTGGTGCAAGTCAACATTTGCACCTGAAGACCATTGGTTGTGAATCACCATGTTTATTACTTAATAGTTTGACAAGATTTATCACAATAGTCACACCTGACACGAGGTTTCTCAATCTCTTTACGTCGATGATTTGGAACTTTATTAGTAGTCAATTCAATCACCGAAGCAGAACCTTCAATAGTGTCGCTTGTACTTACCAAGCATAATATTACGACGAATCTGTCTCGTCGAACTTCAGAAAAAACTTCACCAATTGATGGAAGTGAATTTCTATCAATGATCCTGCATTTGACCTCGTTTAATGCTTGACTAGCAAGGAATTTGTAAATTCGACTATCTTCTAAAATTTTTTGGTAATGCTTAGAGCCTGCCGAGGATCTCCATTCGTGAGTAACAAGAAGGTCAAGCTCTTGCCAAATTCTTTTCAAAGAAATAAAGTATTTTGTAACGGTATTTGTTCCTTGTCGAATTTCACTCAACTTTAGAGTTGATTCAAAGATCTTTGACCGATTTTCCAAATCAGAACACATTTGATTGAGATTGTCTCATAACTTCTTTGCATAGAATAACACATATAGATGGCACCGATCTCCTCATCCATAGAATTAACTAACCAAGTCATTATCATAGAATTCTCAGTGTCCCAAGTAGCAAACAAAGGATTATCTGGAGTCGGTGGTGCTTTTTTATCTATCTCCAGTAATATAGCCCAACTTTCCTTGCCCATGAAGGTACATTCGAATACTTGGAGACCAAGGGAGGAAACTTTCTCCATTAAGTCGAATATTAATAATTTGGATAGGGTGACTGCTGGGATTTAGCTGAGTTTCAGAAACCTCAACATCAAGAGACTCGTCTGTGTCCGAAGTTACCTCGAACATGGCTGTTGATTCAGCCAAGAAAAGCACACAGAAAAATGTCAACTCGGATAAAAAAACCACAATTGAGCAACGATAGAAACATAAAGAAAATTAAGCAATAGAACTGAACCAGTAACCACCACCGGCAACCACTTGAGTTGCGAAGAAACACCAGCGAATTGGACCGACGACAACCACCCGGCGAGTGAAGAACACTGTGGCGTGAGCAGTGTGTTGAGGAAACCCTAGCAGAGAACGAAACCCACCGCGAAGATGGTAGACGATCGTCATACAAAACCCTAGCGACACCAGTGGCTGAAGAAGACAACTTTTTAGAGACAATTGCTCGGGTCGGATTAGGATTAGGTTTAGGGTTTAATTTCCTGATACCATATTAACTTTGGTAGGAATAATTATTTGTATTGATTTTCAAATGAAAAACAAGGTCTCCAAAAATAAAGGTTAGACACCATAAGGAAATTATCTCCGCAATCTACTCATTACAGTTAACTTATAAAACAAAAAATATATAATCAATATTTACAATAAATGTTTACTAAAAATATGAAACCAACTTGAGTTGAGATTTTTCTTTGTTAGGTAAAAAAAAAAATATTCATGGTTTTCCATACAAGATCTTTATGTCCCTTTCACCATATTGACCCATTTTTTCCTTCATAAATTGATTGAATTTGTTTACCATTTCTCTTCGTTGTAATTTCAGTATTAAAATTTTAAAATTATGGGTTTAGCTTCTCGTTCAGTTCAATGCATGGATTATTTTTTACCTTTTAGATTTTGGTGCCCTTATGGGACCACTTGTTGGCAAGAACTTCGGATCTCTTGGTCATATAAGTTTCAGAAGTCTCAAATTCGAATCTTAATACCAGAAACTCTTGATGTCTCCTGGGTTGGGCGCAGGTGTCTTTGGGTATAGGGAAGCAAAGCTCCGACTCTGAATTCTTAAAAAAAAAAAAAAATTACTTGGATTTTGGTATTACTTTTTGTTTCAGGACCCCTACATGTACGAGCTTCTCATAATCTATATTGTCTCTTTCGTTTCTTTTATCTAATGGTTACTGATTTACTCTGTTTGTCTCAATTGTTCCATAGGATTCTTGGGTCTGTCGTCATGGTGCTTGTTTTATGGTCACCAATTACTATTCCACTGCTTCCAACACTTGTTAATAGCTGGACCACTAAAACTCCTTCAAAAAATGCTAATCTTGCTTGTCTTTCTGGTCTTTATACTGCTGTTACCATACTTGTTATGCTGTGGGGCAAACGAATACGAGGGTACGAAAATCCAGCAAAAGAATATGGGCTCAATTTCACATCTCGGTCTAAGGTACCATTGTGTGCTCTCTATATGTTGTTAAAATCCAGCAACCACTAATAAGTAATAATATTTAGTTCCTTGCCTGCAGATTCTTAATTTTATAATGGCCTTCTTTGGAGGAGTTGCGGTTCTCTTGGGAATACAATTTGTAAATAGATTTCTTGGTTACACAACTCTCTCATGGCCACCTATTCCATCGTTGGTAAACCTGGTTTCATGGTTGAAGCTGTTTGGGAAAAGCCTGTTGCTGGTTGTTCTTGGAATTGTACCATCAATAATTGTTGCAGCAGTGGAAGAGTTGATGTTCAGATCATGGTTAACTGAAGAAATTGCTTCCGATCTCGGATACTACCCCGGAATTATCATTTCAGGGCTTGCTTTTGCAATATCCCAAAGGTAAAATCTTTTGTATGCTCTGAATCTGATACAGGTTTGTTCCATTTCTGGACTGCTTCCTAATACAGTTAGCCAAATTCAATCTACATGTTCCCAATATTTAGATCATGTGTTACAGATGGAGTTAGAAGAGTCTCTGTTTGGCAATGCAGCCATGAGTGTGTGTTGTGGGATTGAAATAACTGAGATAGATGTCGGGTTTCAGGTCGGTGCAATCGATACCAGTTCTATGGGTGTTATCTTTGGGTTTAGCGGGTGCTCGGCAAAGGAGCAAAGGTTGCCTGTCCATTCCTATCGGGTTACGTGCAGGTATAATGGCATCTAGTTTCATTTTGCAAAAGGGTGGATTCATAAGCTACAAGCCCTCCATCCCCATGCATCGTCCTGTTTGGATTATGGGCATTGACACACTCCAACCATTGAGTGGGGCGGCTGGTTTTGCATTTTCTTTGTTGCTGGCATTCATCTTTTTCCCTAGAAACAACCCCATGGACAGGAAGAATTTGAAAAGGCCAATTCGGGAGTAGAAGATCCATTGTAATTCTTGACCGAAACCGTGGCCTGATCGAGGGAGCGAGTGACGTTGGGTGTTCTGGGAGTGTACTTAAGGAAAAAGTACCCCATGAAACTCTGCAGAGGAATGGGGATATGCCTTTACAGAGGTGTTGTTTCTGGGAGTGTCTCAATTGCTATGCTGTCTATATGTTTAAAAGTGCTGCAGTTAGATATATTTGTATCTCAACAGCTGCCTGCACTTGATATTGTTTTGTAAAGCATTCGCTGTATTTATTCTCACATACACACGTACATTTATATAATAAAAGAAATAAACAATATTTTAGTTTTTTTTCGTTTTAATGAAAGAATATTGTAGTAAGAAATTTGCTAGTCAAATAACCTATCTGGTTTACTGTTTTTAGATTTTAAAAAATAAGTTTAGTGGATAAGCAATTCAATTTTATGTTTTTTTAATTAAAAAAAACCTTTTTTAAAATTCTAAGTAAATTTCAAAAATAAAAAGTAGTTTTCAAATCTTTTTTTTCCCAAAACCTCAACGTTTTTTTTTTAATGCTAACCTTTTTTTTTTCCATTTTTACGTCTCCAGACAAATAAAAATTAAAAATTAAAGAAAAATTAAGACTAGAAGTTTTTCCTCTCTGAAATTTTCCCTAAAATTTATTTCGATTATTAACTTTTATTTCTTGTCTAGCACTAAGGGCTAATTAACATCTACTTCTAAAGTTAACTTTCATATCTTCAATTTGCTGTATTAAAAAAACTTTTATTTTCTCTCTAAAATTGTCATCTTTATTTATTTTTTTTTCTCTTTTTTTTTTGGAACTTTTTTGTAATAATGTTGAAGTAAATTTTGTTGGCAAAATATTACACTCCCCAAACTTACTCATATAATAATGTTTGGAAAATCGTAGAGATGATCGATGCCACTTTAGCATTTCCAACTTGTGTGACATCATACCTTTTTTTAAAAAAAAAACCTAGCATGTTGCCTTTTCAATAGATGACATATATCGAACTTAAATAATTTTGTCACTTTTGTGGGATGGTTACACACCCATCTTCTAGTCTTAAAGGTTTGAGGTTCAAGTTTCTATTGCACAAACCACTCTAAAATATTTAGTTGTTACCATTGCGCTCTTAAACTTTCCGTGGTAAAAATTAAACCCTCAAACTTTCATGTCTAAGCTTTTAAGATTTTTGTTTCTTTCTTTTAAGAGTGCTAGTGCTATGCAAGTTGAAAACGGTGAAGTAGAATGGGTTGTCCCACAATTTTTCAAGTATTATTATCGTAATCAATTTTTGTAGAGTAATATTTTGTACATAAATTTCTAATTTAACATTATCCGAAAAAAAGAAGTCCAACATGTGGGGATATTTCTTTCTTTTATGTCCTAACATATCACTCTAAGTTCTCTCCCTACAAAATTAATATTTTCTCAAATTTCTCTCTAAAATATTTTCTAACTTTTTTTTCCTTTTTTTTTAATTTATTTTTCATTAGTAAATATATATCTAAATTCTTTAAATTTTCTTTCATGCGACCTTTCTCTCTTTTTATTTTTTGACAAATATATTTCGAACTTTATATCTAAACTATTTTTTTCACTATAATTTTCTATTTTCCTTACATGCCTTTTGTTCTCAACTCTATTCTATTCGGTCGGTTAGTTTTGATAAACATTTCGATTGGAGTCGATTTTGTAAAATTAAAAATCACTTGTTAGTCTATTCGTTTGGTTGAAAATGTAATTTATTTAATAACTTAATTAAAAAAAAAAAAGAAAAAAAAGAAGCCCGCTGCACACCAAGGTGATTAGAACTTTGATTTTTTATTTTTGATTTTTGATTTTTAATTTCTTCACTCTCTCTCTCACCTCTCCCCTTTCTTTCTCCCTCCCTTTTTTTCTCTTTCCCTCTTTCTCTCTCTCAGTCTCTTCCCCTCTGCTCTTCTATTCCCTTCTCTTCTTCTCGTTTTCCTTTTTTCCCACCTTTCGTCTCATTTTGTATTGGTTTCAACTAAAATTGATCGACTGCTGATGTAGTCAATCGATCGGAGTTATAGAACCGTTCAAAACTACCCATATTGGAGATGACAAAAATCTTGGTGGAGTTTGCGTCTCTGCTTCAAGACACAATAATTCCACCTTGCCTCATATTGATTGTATTTTTTTAATATACATTTTGTTCTCTTTTTTAAACTAAATTATCAATAAAAATATTAAATACTTTTTAATTATTTACACTAGTAAATAAAATTTCAGTAAATTTTGCTATTTTTTATTGTTTAAATTTAACAATTAATTAAAGTTAATTACTAAATTGGTAATTTTCTTTGTAAAGGATCCCATGGACGATGATTCTTGACATTGACCTTGATTCTCCAAATAGGAGAATTGAGTAGAGAAGAGGACAAAAAATTCCTGCGAAATTGAGGATATCGAGGGCCACGTACCAACTCTACTCTGCATATATTTTTCTAATATATCTATCCAACTCTCTGACTTATCAAAATATAAAAAACTAAAAATAGTAACAGTAGAACTATAAATTTTGGACCCTCGTCAATGCATGTCAAATTATATTTTACTAAATTTGAGGTCCATTACAAATTTACATGTATGTAACAAAAACAACAGAGACAACAAAATTAAGGGAAATTGGCTCAAATGACCTTCAAAAGTTTTTGAAATGCTCAAATGACCCACCCTTTAATTGCGCCCAAATGACCCACTTTTAACATAATGATGTGTCAGAAGCAGGTGAAATGACCAAAATGCCATTAAATGTAACAGATGACCACTAGAATAATTCTAATTCCCGGTCGAGGTAGAAAAATTCCCGCCTGAGGTAGCTTCAATGCACGACAAACCAATTTAATGCACACCAACTTGTACCTTAATAATCAGTACATGCCATTACTAATCTCAGAGAACATATGTCCTTATCGTGAATATTCTCTCTGCACAATCCTAAAAAATCTGAAAAGTATTGTCAATATTCTCTTTAGAAGTTTCAAGATTTTGGGAGAAGTAATTCTTTATTTTTTATGCTTTCTCCTTTTTGCGCAATAATCTTGCTTGATGTCTACATTTGAACATATGTGTTTTTATTTGATCCTCGTTTGGTTTATTTTTGTTACAGTCAGAGTAACAATAACTTTTGTTATTTTGTTTTAAACCCATATGTTCATTCCTCCTACACTATGCGTTTTAATTTTCGGGTCATTCTCGAGCGAGGTGATATGATTCTCGGCCAAGAATCATGTTTTTGATGAACTACTAAACTTTCTCGACCGAGGTCAGAGGTTTTCAAAACGGAATGTTTGTTAAACTTACCTCGGGCTTGGCTACGTATTGAACTCCACCTCGAGCGAGAAAATATGTTTCCCGCTCGAGGTTGATGTATATTATATATATATATTCTATCTCTAATTGTCTTTCAATTGTGCTTTGTAATGCAGAACAAAATGGTACCAAATTGAAACCCTCATACTTGGTTACGTCAAACTCGTGTACCCTCGTCGGAGATGAAGAATATTGGATTTTAACGAACGACTACGTGCCGAGGACGATTAAGCCACCAAAATTTGTTCCTCGTGTTGGACGTCGCCACTGCCGCATATTTTTCTTGATTCCATAATTCCCGGCCAAGTTATAATCGACCCCGATCGTAAAATTCAATGAGCTACGAAAATAGAGATTAAAGTTCTATACATTTAATATGGAGGTTATTTTTTATTTCATTTCTGCCAATATTCTCGGGCTCGAACTCGGTCGAGGTAGATACCGAGGTTGGTATTTTTTTCAGTTGTGCAAAAAACCTCGAGCGTGAACCAGCGTACCTCGACCGTAAAATACAATGTTCTTCAGAAATAAAGATTAAAATGATCCTAATATTGAAAACGCAGTCCTAAACTCCATTAATAATTGATGTTTTGTCTCAATGTATCTAAACGAGTCCCTGTTAAATCATAGTCAATATACTTAAATTCATTCGTATTATCAAATTTAACTAAGTTACGTACAAAATAAGAAAACAATTCTAATGGAATATCAGAAAATAGGTCTATTCGCCCAAAGTTGAAAAGCAAGCTGCCTCCTAAAGTGTGTGATCCTAGACTGTCTTAGAGTATCCAATGCGGACCCGGTTACATCGTACTCAAAATACTTGATGCAGAAAATCCAACAGTCGCCACCGCCAATCTGCTGTGGTGCTGACGTAACTCGTCGAATCCGTCATGGTTGGATCGGTAGATTGGGTTGGACTTTCATAACATCACATTTGAAGAGCATTACTGGGATGATGGTGTGCATTACCTTCAAATGATCCTCCATAGCATGATCCGTGGTCATTGAATTCAAGGAGTCCCATACTACGATCTCGCCTTCCTCGAGGTCGATACATACCATTACCCAATGCTTGCCCCTAATGTTAAATGGGATATATATGGCGTCCACTTCCATCCACCTCAAAGGGTAGTCCGTATGAGTGCCGTCAGTATAACCCATGATGCTCTCGTCCCTCCCGTCCCAATCGTACTCGGCCGCTACTTTTGAAGGCAATGAACTATCAGATTGCATGCATGCATATAKATCATCCTTACGTCTGAAGTAGTTCTGTAATGTTAAACTTAACCCAATGAGTCATTAACCTATGCACTATGACCAATTTGAAGTTAGTGGATAGGCATGAACACACGTACCGCAAGAACTAGATCGCCAGTTGTGAACTTCCGAGAACACAGATCAGGCCGCTGCTCAAGCTTCTTTCGCAGTAACATGAACAGCTCATCGACGACCTATGAACAGTACCCAATTTATAAACATGAACGTATACATATTTACTATATTTAGTTGTGGTTAATGACCACTTACCTCGGCTGTGCACCAGTTACCTGGCCTCAATAGGTTGCGGAACCAGGCCTTATTCTTGATGGAGTATACGGTCTTTCGCGTTGCACCAGTTACCTGGCCTCGTACTGCTTTCAGCTCACCTTCTACGCCTTCAAGTTTCTTATCCATAACGGCTACACGCGTGTCCAACACTTTAATTCTTTTCAACACTTTCTTGTTAACCTTCTTCTTTTTTTCTTTGTTCTGTATCGCCTCTCCATCCTGGTTACGATCGACCTCGGCAGCGGTAGGAGCACCAATATTGTCGGTTGGACGGTCCGTGTTTCTGTCTTGACCCTCGAATGCAGTCTCTAGACGTTGATGGACTTCCTCATCAGCTTCTAGTTCATCTGATGCTGGTTGTTCGATTGCCCTATTCAAAAACCTCATCTCCGCTTCAGTCGGTTATAAGCCCCTAATTCTGGCCTGCACGGAAAATGATATCAATACGACACAATTTGAAATAAAGTCATAAAAAAGGGTCAGACTTACTATTGTAGACTGGAATATCTCCCTCTCCAGCACGAGCCATCTAGTCGAGTGACCGCACCTCCACCGGAGCATGCGGGGTACCAAACTATCACTTATCTTCCTGGCAACTCGTCCCATCATGGAAGATATTGTCTCATACGCGCACACCTGCACAAATTACAAATAATGTTAGTAACGATTAGTATGTCCAAATTAAATTAAAAATTTATATATATTTATTTACCTAGAACACCATGAGAAAACATACAGACTGTACGATTTCCTCAACGCCCCCTCAGGTGTCTTCTTCGCAAGTGCTCGCTCCAGACTCCTCATAGTCTTCTCAAATGATAGCCCGCCCGTAAAGTACAAATTCAACAAAGTATACAATTGAGACCTTCACCACGTCTCAATCATCCTCAAAACGAAGCACTCAGCCAAGGTCAGGTCTACATTATCATCGAAGTACATGGTCCTAAGCCTACGAGGATAGGTGTCCTTCATAACGGTGGCTGTCGAATATTTTAGGCCGCTAATTAAATCAAATTCTCTCAGTCCAAAGGACACCTTACTACCAAACAAGTTAAAACTCATGGTGTCCTTGCGACTCTCATTTACCTCCCTAAGCAGCAGACAATGAATTAGTGGCCTGTTAGAGACGAGATCCACATCAAGCAAATGCCCAACTGCAGTCTTCCTAAATAAACGAAGCTGATCGGGGGTAAGTTTCTTCTTAATAGCCTCGGATGTCTTCGCTAGGTGCGATAGATAGGTCAGCTGGGACGAGACATACATCGCGAGAGGGACCTTCGGTACCAAATCCATTTCCTATAAGTAAATACACACAAACATTTACACTTAGATTCAAACCATCAAGTTTACACTAAACTAAACCATATATGGTCAGAAATGAACA